AGAGTCCTATCGCAGATAGCTTCGCGTATAACTATCTCGAGCTCGGACATTGATTCTGCGACGTGCTTTTCGACTTTCTGCAGCTCCTCTTTGGAGGCAGCATCCGAGGAGTCCTTGCTGACCCGGTTGCGCGCCCTCCAGGCTTCGAATGGTCCGGGATAACGCTTACCCAATCCGTTCTCTCTCAGAATGTCTAGTGTTTCGTCGTTTGCTCCATCAGCGATGCGAATCGTGCCATCAGCCCTGGACATTGGTATCAGGAATATGGCTGTTGAAAGAGTCAGTGAGATGGTCACTCACAAGAGCCTTTTCAACTGCGCGGGATTGTACTTCTCGCCTCGAATGAGTCGTTCCATAGCTCGACCTTCCACATAGCGTTTTGTCAGCAACGCAAACGACGTCTCTCCTCGGATGAGTGTAGGTTCCAGGTCTGCATTGTCAAGAGTGCATATCTCAGGGGACATGGGCTCGACGTCAACTCCACGCAAGACAGTCTGTAAAAGTCGCGGTCAGAGTCGGCAACATCAGATGCATCGTTAACCGTACCTCAAAGCCCTCTCGGGTGGATACGTCCTCCTCCTGCTCGTTTGTCTTGGCGACTTCGAACGAGAACATCCGGTCGGACGCTTCTTGCAGATCGAGATCGAGACCGATGGGCGTCTCCAGTCCGTCCGAGTCCTCGTTCCACACAATCGAGCGCGCGTGCTCGGACGAGACCAGACACACGACTTGGTCGGCCAGCTTGGTGAGGTATCTGTCCCAAGTCAATGCTGTAGCCAATTGGCACTGAAAGATGGAATGCGCCATACCGCATGAAAGTCACGCGGTTCCGTTTCACAGACGACAGAGCGTCGTCGTTCCAGGTCGTTGGTTCCGGCCAGTACACAAGAAATATCTGCTCCGACTCGAGTGGCGCCCGGAAAACATAGAGACCCGACCGGAGATATGGGGCTGACGCGCCGGAGACCGACTGGTTAAGGATCGATGCACTGTGGGACTCAATGAGTAACCAGACGGCGCGAGGATTCCAGCTCACATGTCGTCTGTGATGACCGCTCGACTCGACAGAAAGGCGACAATCTCATCCTTGCTGCCGTAGATGCCAAGCGGCTTGACGTCCAGCTTATCCAATGTTTTGAAGTCCACCTGTGTGGTTTGCGTGAGTAGACAGTAAGGGGAAGCAGAAGTCTTGGGGACGGACTTTTGTGAGAGACGAGTAGGCGCCCGGAGAGAGATTGTTGATCAGCCGCTCGAGGGACTCCTGCGCGATGATGATCTTGTCAACTGCAACATATCAGTGACTCTGCGTGAATTCGACGATGATGGAACAGAACACAGACCTAGACCACCACTAAGGGAGATCCATGTAGAAATTAGACCCCGGAAATGCGCTGGAGCACATCACGTACCTTCCACTCTCACTAATAAGATCTAGAACACGATGTAGACCGGGAATGCGGTACGCCAAGTCGAGTTTCTCCGCGTGGTGCATCTGTGTGTTCACCAGAGGCTCGGAGTCGACGTCCATCGGCTCGAACATATTGACTTTGATCTCAGACGGCTGGGGATGCGGTTCCAATGCGTGCGCGTCGCTCGACCTCGTCGAGTGGGGCTCGTCTATCACCTGCACCTCGTCTTTCTCGACTTCGGAATGCGCTGATGTCCAACTCTTCGTGTCGTCATCGTCATCTTCACTTTCTGTTTGGAGAAGTGTAAACAGGGGAGGTCGACAGACGCAACCACAGCGTACCATTGATAGCATTCGATTGCCCGCCCCATCCGTCAGGGGTCTTGGAGTCCACAACATGACTGCCAGTCGAGTCCGGAAACACAGGAACGGGAGTATAGGTCATGAGAGAAGGGTAGAAACTGGTTCCAAATGCCGGTTGAAAGAGCGGTTTATGTAGGCCGCCTGAAAGACCAGCCACGAGGCATCGATGGTCTATGTATGTCTACCATGCATGCGCAGAAAGCGGCCGGCAACGTCCATTCCACTTCAGCAATTGCAATTCCTTTCCAGTAAGAAAGACGCCCACGAGCTGGATGTCATCATTGCTTCAGACGACTTCTTGAGACGATCAACCCCGTTGCGCGTAAATTTAGACGCCCATTAGCGAGCCGCCTGGGATAATGAGTGAATGTCTGTGGCATATTTGCCCATGTCTGAGAGCTGTCCGGTCACAGTCCTCGGATCCCGTCGAGACGCGCGGTCGGAAAAGCAGGGCCATGACATAACGGCGCTTAGGTTTATGGAAAAGCGGCGTAGAGGACGTGCAGGGTTACAAATGGTGCACATAAGTGTCATGTATGCTATGGGCTTCTTGACAAGCGGAGAGGTAGCGGGTAACACAGCGCTTCGCTCGCAATCAACCGGCTATAGTGATATCACGTGACCCACGCGACTCCATTCTTCTGACGATACCAGTGGTATTCAGTCACTGTCCAAGACGATGGCAGGCAAGTCATGCGGTCAATATTGTCTTGAGAGCAACGTAAGGTCCAGGCCTCTTCGTGTTATTACGCTTGTCGTTCCTCAAGAGCGGTCCTCTATCGCAGTGGAGGTCGGATGTTCGCGAAAGTGTCGCAGCACATCAGCTGTGGCTCAATCAGGACTCCCAAGGACCTCACACAAAAACCCATTTATTTGACCAGATAAAAACTTACTCTGTGCCAATCTTAGTTTGTTTTACTGCATCCTCTTCACAAATACGATAAACCTGGACCAATCCATCGTACACCTTGGAGACTTCCGGGTTGGGCTCACCGACGCATTTCAGCTCACCGACGTCACCTCCGGTCATATCTTCAAAGCTTCCGGAGTCTCCATTCTTGGCGCGCCACCACGCCCATCGCGCGAGCATTGCTCCGCCCATCCCCGCGCCCTCTTTAGTCCCCGACACATACACACGCATGCCAAATACGTCGGCGGCAAGTTGGCGGATCACCGGATTGCCTGAAGCACCGCCCGCGACGACGAGCCTGTGCAGGGGAGGTGAATTGGACGGCAGGATAGCTGCGATGCGAGACCGAATTGACAGAAGTTGGGACTCGAGAATCGCTCGAGAATGCGCACGCTTCGGCAAATCCTTGACGGCGACAGCTGTTCCTTTGACGGGATCTACTTCGTAGTAAAAATTGCCGACGACACCCGGGGGAATGATTTCAGGCAGCGGAAAGTAGAGACCGAGATGCCCGCCATTCCCGGGCTGGGTGCTCTCCACATCTTGGTTAAATTTGGCCCAATCTCCCGCGTTATGTTGGTCGCGCACGGACTCTCGCGCCAGAGCACCGTTCTGGTAACAAAGCATCACTACGAAAGCGGTCGGAGGTGAGGTTGGGTGCGTCAAAAGATGAGACGTTGTGAATCGTGAAGGCGGTGTCTGCGCAAGTGGCGTGGACAACAGGAAAGTGGTCGACGTCCCCAGAGAGAGCAGAGCGTCGCCTGGCGCAGAGAGTGCGACGACTGTTGCAGGATTATCTCCAGTGAATGGAGCAATGATGCATTCTGGAACGGGCTCAGAGGTCAGCGTCTGAATGAAAACCGAACGCACCTGAATTGAATCCCCACCGAGCAACCCACCACGAACCGATCTTCCCCAGGTTGGTTCCGCCAGCCACAGGCTCAGGGCCCAGCTTTTTGCGCAGTTCTGGTCCGCCACAGAATTCGAGTAACCTGTCGTCCCATTTACAAGATACCACATCCATCAAATTCATGCCGCTGGCATCTGAGATCTCGATTGGGGCAATCAGGCCAAGAAAGACCGAGGGTATAAAGGACGAGACTAGAGAGATTCTCGATGTCGCTGCATAAGTTGCGGGATCGGCGCGGCGAAGCTGAATCAAGTCAGTCGCACTGACGTACCCGTGCAAGAAACTATCCGCAAACCTTGGCGATCTGTGGTCCCGTGAACCTTTCGTATGCGCGACTGCCACTCAGGTCCGCCAAAGTCTGTGCACCTCCCAGAGCTGCCTCCAAGTCTCGGCATTCCCGACCTGTTGACGAGTCTTGCCAGATGGGGGCTTTCTGCAGGGAGAATGCATGCGGGAAGAGTGCTTCGGACAGAGATTTCGCGGGATCCATTTTGCTCAATGCATTCTCCGCAGTGGCAGACCAATACACTGATCCATGCTGCTGTCCCGCTCCAGAAATAGCGGCGATCTCTCCGAAAGCAACCCCCGCCCCCTTCATTCGCTTCATGAGCAGCTCCAAGGCGTCCAGCCACATTGCGACGGGCGATGTAACCTGCCATGGAAGTAGTCTCAGATACGACTAATAGAACATCGAAATCGAAACAGACGCACCTCGCCTTCTCTTGGCCCCAGTATTCTCCCACTGCTCGTGCCGTGCTGCGGCAGATCGCTGTCGAAATGGACCGCCGACTCGTGAACGATTTCATTCTTTTCGGAAATCAAGACCGCCTTGAGTTGTTGGGTAGAGAGATCTAGTCCGAGAAACAGAGGGCCTGGCATCGAAAACACTCGAAAGGGACAAACGCCGCGGGCTTGCATCCCGCGGAGGATCTTATCTTATAGTTGCAGTTGCCGGGCCGGAACAAGGTCACTTGTCGGCCCGCAGGACCGGCGTTTGCCTGCTGACAGTGAGACCAAGGAGGTACTTATCCATGGACGTGGAAAGGTAGGGAAAGGTATCTCAGTTGATCCAAGACACCTGGATACTGTAAATCGATGGATAGTGGAGTTTTTTGAGGGCGCTTTGTGTTGGCGATGTCAAGGGATGTTTCTTCACGTCACAGAATCAGCACCTTATTGACTCGGCAAGGATTCCGCAGACGATTGGGATAAGGTTGCACAGATCTCATGTTAACGAGACATGAAATCAGGGTGTTAGATACCCTCAATGCTACGTAGTACTCGTAGTCGGCAGAAGTTTTGGTCATCATGATGTCAGATCTGACCGGCCCCACGATGCGGTCACATGCAGTTCAACTTATGTAAACATAACTTCAGACCTACTACTATCATCTACAACACCTATTACAATGCCTCGAGCCACTACACACCCACGGCACTCGGAAGAAGTGAAGAACCAGTTTGTCGGGGCCATGGTTGCTCAGCCCAACTTGAAGAACCATTCTGCAGCGTTTGGAATCCCCTACCACACCGCGCGAAAGATCTGGAAGAAGTATAAGGAACGTGGAACAGTTGAAAACATACCTTCCAGTGGCCATCCGAGGACTGTCACCCCTCAGGTCGCGCGCAAAGTCAAGAAGTTGGCGCGAGATCACTGCCGGATGCCATTCGAGGAAGTCGGCAATCAGATCAGCCCGCCAATCAGTGCTCGGAGTGTTGGCAGGGTTTTAGAGGCCGAGGGGATGCATCGTCGCGTTGCTAGGGTGGTCCCGTACTTGACAGATGAACACAAGGCGGCTAGATTGGCATGGGCAAAGGCTTGCGCGAAGAACACGGATCGGCAGTGGGCAAGTGTCATCTGGAGTGATGAATGTTACATTCATCTTGAGAGCGGCGGAGGTCGGGTTTGGGTCACGCAAACCAGCGAGGAGACTTACCATGAAGATTGCCTCGTTCCGCGGTTCAAGCAGTCCCCTGTCCGCGTCATGGTCTGGGGGTGCATTGCCCAAAACTGGAAGGGGCCGCTGATTGTCCTCAAGTATCCCGGTGGACCCGGCGGAGGTATGACGGCTGATCGTTACCAGCAACAGGTGCTGCGGACTGTGCTCGAAGACTCTCTTGCCAATGTGAAGAAGCAGCGAGGGGGGAGGGCACGCGTGGAGTTTCAGCAACACCTCAGTTACCACTGCCAACCCCCCGTATAGACCCCGCGGGGGACCTCCTGGGTACCCTTAGACGTAGCTCTATGGGTACCCAGGAGGTCCCCCCCTGCGGGGGTACAGGGGGCAGCTGGCCATTTTGGGGCAGGGGGATGGGCGGGGGTCAGGACGGGGGTCAGGACGGGGGTGCCCATACATACCATGTGACTTGTCCATAAGAGCGGGCAGCTGGGCGGAAAAAAAATCAATCACATGATGCACCAAATGGGCGGGATGGCGGGAAAATCACGTGATGAGCTGCAGGAAAAATTTCAAAATGGCGGGGGTTGGCAGGGGCATTGGCGGGGGCGCTACCGCCCCTCCCGCACACTGTGGCGGGCAGTGGGCGCATTATCACGTGACTTTTTGGGGCACCTTTTTGCACCATTTGACATGATTTTGGAGGTGCTGCTTGATAGATTGCATGTTGTGGCAGACAGTGGGCGCAAAATCACGTGATTTTCCGCCAAAAAAAAAATGGAAGCCTCTCTAAATCATCCCAGTATAATTTCCATAGGTAAATACACTAATTGACCATGCATTTGAGCTTAGAAAACCCCAAATGCACCCTGCACAATAGGATTGTTGATGTGCTTGATCCCATCATCTGGCGGGGTCTGCTGCGGGGTCAGTCTGGCATATTCTATATTTAACCTCCTTTAGCAGTAGCAGTAGTGCTGCTGACCACCAGGGCAAGAATACAAACATTTATGAAATATCTTATCAAGGTAGACAAAGCCAATAGGGCAGGTGAAGATGTGTAACTGGATATTGCAATTGATGCAGGGCCCAGTGCGGGGTCTGGTGCGGGGTCTGGTGCGGGGTCTGGTGCGGGGTCTGATGCGGGGTCTGATGCGGGGTCTGATGCGGGGTCTGGTGGGGGAGCAGGGGCAGGGGTGGATTACACAAAATTTTGATGTATCTACTCTGGCTAGGGTTGTAGAATGTCACGTAACTTTTCTCTATTTTGGCAGGGAATGGGGGATAAAGATACACAACATTGCCCGCATGTTTTGGCTGGGTCTCCAGGTCAAGTCATGTGATTTACCAATGTTTTGGTGGGGGGTAGGAGATTAAAGCATGGTTTTGCCAGTACATTTTGGTGGAGTTTGTGGCTTCAAAAGATGCTAACATATTAAAAAATGCGCAACCACATGTGTTCAGCAAATCCCCCAAGGGGGTTGTCCAGTCACAGCTACATTGATCAGCAGGAATAGTCATGGTTACTGCTCCCCTTCCAAACAGCTGAAGTGGTCCTCCTGCTTTTTAAGGATAACTGCATCTCCAATGTTTCACTCTCTTTAATAGCATATTTGATGCAGGTGTTACAAGCATCATTTGCTGGATTGAATATAACCTGTGAACATCACATTGAGACACTGTAATGAGTGTGCTAATATGCAGAACCCTGACAAAGAATTGTGCAGAAACCTCGTGAATACAATTCTTGCAGGGGATTGGGCGGGGTTGACTGCGGGGGTGCGCCAGCCCCTGCTGGCCAATCAAATGTGGAGCAACCAGAGGAACACACATAGCAACACATTCCCATGCTTTTATACTGCGGCCCAAGCAACTTCACGGTTACCTCTACCCAATTCCAACAAAACAACTTGACTGCTCTTGTTTCTGGGCGACAATTGATTGTACAAGCTTGGGTGGGTTTTGCACATTCCAGTGAGAACAGAGGTTGTCTGGTAGGAGGTAGGGGACCGAAACATTGCTAGAAACCATATTCAAGATGACCAGAGGCTCACATCTCTTTAAACTGGCCCATATCCCACATTATAAAATACACTATACTTTGGATTTATTTCGTATTTTTGAATCGTTACAGGGTCCAGCACTCCCCAGATTTTGTTCAGGCATTGCCAAAGGGTGTATCCTTCAGCTGTGTGAAGTTGGGCCCTTGCAGAAAATATATTTTGCGCAATATGCAAAGTGAACCATGTTGAAGTGTTCTCTATATAGGAACATTGAGCCACTATGAGCTGTTTCCATGTTTCGAATTTTGGGCTGACAGAGGACATGAAGTGGCATTATATTCAACAAGAAGAGCATAGGGAGACATAATTCCGATGGTTTTTAGCTGCATATATGTAAAAATAGTCTCAGAAGAGCAAAACATAGTTAGGTACGACGTTTATACAGGTTCTGATTGGCTACTGACTTGATGTGTTCCGGGCTGTCACTTTACATAATATTACATATTTGGAGATGGCAGGGGCTGAGGCACCGGTGTGGCGGGGGTGATGGCGGGGGTCAATCAGTGGCAGGGTAGTTGCGGGGGTGCTGGCGGGGGGGGGGGGCGGGGGTGAAGGCGGGGGTGCAGGCAGGTGGTCATGGCTGGGGTGGGTAGAGACTCATTGGTAAAAGCAATCAGCCATGTGTTTGCAGTTGGTCTTCCAAAAGATACAAGCCACAACACAAGTTGTTAAGAGTTTACATGTCAAATTTGCACTTATTACCAAGCTCTGACTATTGTGGGACAACTTGCCAGTGAATACATCTCTCACATTGCACCAAGTAATGAATATAGTTCACCTCAAATCCACTCTATTTAATTAATTCATGCTGAAACCCAAGCAGATCGCTTGCAAGGGAACACACAACTTCCAAACCTCAAGTGGATTCAGCCAGGAAGGGGGGGATGAGATGTGTACCTAATATGTTCTATTACAAGCTCCAAAAATGGATACCACTGTGCTACACATATATATTAAATGGGTAAAGCAAACAATCAATGAGTGGAGTGTTGACCCTGGTCTGCCAATTCTACTATGCCACCCATCCTGCCAGCCAAAAAATGAGAAAATCACATGTTCTGCTTGACTTCACATGCCATGAATTATATAGGTAGCATCATCCATTAATCTCCTACCCCCCACCGAAACATTGGTAAATCACATGACTTGACCTGGAGACCCAGCCAAAACATGCGGGCAATGTTGTGTATCTTTATCCCCCATTCCCTGCCAAAATAGAGAAAAGTTACGTGACATTCTACAACCCTAGCCAGAGTAGATACATCAAAATTTTGTGTAATCCACCCCTGCCCCTGCTCCCAGGACCCCTGATAATACAGTCAAATGTTAGCCCAAAATTTGGCTGATGCCCCCCATATTTGTCCAACACGGTTCGAGCCTGAGCCCGGGATTTTTGTCCAACCCGTACATAGGTCTCACAAGTTGTTTTTTGATGCCTACATGGATATAAGACTGAAACTCAGCCCTTTGGCTCGATTTTCGACCTTTCCGAGACGCTATACACCGATTCAGAGACTATTCCACCTCCTTATCCCCCAATTCGTTGAAAATTTCCAAGGCTGCTGCGAAGCGGATTTTGGGAAGCAATTTCGATTCGGTGTGAAAAAAATATATATCCTAGACTCGAACTCGAGACCTCATAGGACCTTCCTGGTCAAGATTTAGACTCACATCCTCATGTAATCGCATGTTACCACTGGACTGCCATGGAGAATTTTGTCCAACCACGATCTAACTAGATCGACCATGCGGCCCAATTTTTGTCCAACCCCCTACTACTTTGGGCTAAGTGTTTTGCCTAATTTCCCCCAGAATTGTCCAACGCGGTGGCTAACATTTGACCGTACTATCCGGGGTCCTCTGCTCCCCCACCAGACCCCGCATCAGACCCCGCATCAGACCCCGCATCAGACCCCGCACCAGACCCCGCACCAGACCCCGCACCAGACCCCGCACTGGGCCCTGCATCAATTGCAATATCCAGTTACACATCTTCACCTGCCCTATTGGCTTTGTCTACCTTGATAAGATATTTCATAAATGTTTGTATTCTTGCCCTGGTGGTCAGCAGCACTACTGCTACTGCTAAAGGAGGTTAAATATAGAATATGCCAGACTGACCCCGCAGCAGACCCCGCCAGATGATGGGATCAAGCACATCAACAATCCTATTGTGCAGGGTGCATTTGGGGTTTTCTAAGCTCAAATGCATGGTCAATTAGTGTATTTACCTATGGAAATTATACTGGGATGATTTAGAGAGGCTTCCATTTTTTTTTTGGCGGAAAATCACGTGATTTTGCGCCCACTGTCTGCCACAACATGCAATCTATCAAGCAGCACCTCCAAAATCATGTCAAATGGTGCAAAAAGGTGCCCCAAAAAGTCACGTGATAATGCGCCCACTGCCCGCCACAGTGTGCGGGAGGGGCGGTAGCGCCCCCGCCAATGCCCCTGCCAACCCCCGCCATTTTGAAATTTTTCCTGCAGCTCATCACGTGATTTTCCCGCCATCCCGCCCATTTGGTGCATCATGTGATTGATTTTTTTTCCGCCCAGCTGCCCGCTCTTATGGACAAGTCACATGGTATGTATGGGCACCCCCGTCCTGACCCCCGTCCTGACCCCCGCCCATCCCCCTGCCCCAAAATGGCCAGCTGCCCCCTGTACCCCCGCAGGGGGGGACCTCCTGGGTACCCATAGAGCTACGTCTAAGGGTACCCAGGAGGTCCCCCGCGGGGTCTATACGGGGGGTTGGCAGTGGTAACTGAGGTGTTCAGCAAGATGGTGCATCTTGCCACACCGCAAAGTCAACCAAACAATGGCTTGAGCGACACAAGATCCCCCTTTTCCCCCATCCGGCCTCGTCTCCCGACATCACCCCGATCGAGCCCATATGGCACGAGCTTAAGAAGCGTGTCAGAGCCCACAACCCACGTCCAACATCGTTCGAAACCCTCAAACAAGCCATTCTCGAGGAATGGGAAGCCATGCCCATGGAGGACATCAACAAGTATGCACTTCACATGCGTGAGCGTGTAGAGGCCATTTTAGAAGCCAATGGTGGTCATACAAGGTATTAGACTACAAAAATGTACAATTAAAAAGTTGAACACAGCCCGGATTCGATCAAGTGACCAAAACTTTTGCCGACTATGAGTAGAAGGCTGGGAGGTCGCCACCAGTCCTGGAGAGCGGTAGGAAGCGACCTCAGAGTGACGGAGTCTCAGGTTCGCATGTGATTGTGGCTGTGTCGCGGAAGCCGCTGCCCATTCATCACTAGAAAGCGCCGACTGCGTCGGCAGAGGTGCCTTGCTCTAAGTCCAGACCCCCATACACAAATCACACTCATCCACGACACAACCAATACATATACAATACACAATTCATATACTTTACAATATGCTTGCAAGCAGGAGAAACGCGGCTACCTCATTGATTGGTACCATACACACACACACCGGCTCTTCTTCTGTGGGCTTTCAGCCTCATTGTCTGTATCTCTGAGGGCCAGCCTTCCACGTTTCAGTGGGCTGGGAGCCATCACCTGATTAGCTATGACCCTCATCTTGACAATGTCTGCCAAAATCAGATCTTCCTTTTTAGACTGGAAAGCAATGTGCGAGAGGTTAAAGGTGAGTGTAAGGGCAACCTCGAGGCCTGATGTCAGAGTCCTGGCAAGGGAGAATCCAAAGTGTTAATAATGGTAGCTAGGTACAAGACCGGCATACCTGGCAAGGGAGAATCCAAAGAGAAACCGTGTTGGGGATTCTCCTTGCCAGGCGCCACTATTTATATGATACAAGAACAATAGAGCACGCAGCGACAAACAAAGAACAATGGGAACAATAAGTACAATGGCCGTTTGGAGAACAATAGGAAACCGAGACAGTGGGAACAATGGGACACCTGACCATGTGCCCATCAGAGAGAAGCGCTTGGCATGGCAGTCCGGGCCGCGGTACGTGACAGCTGACAGGTCACCCGAGCGCGATCGCATGCCAAATCCCAGGCCGATCAGTTCGAAGTGGGGGTTCCCCTGACATCACCCCCCCCTTGGATTGCAGCGCCTTGACGCAACGTGCGGATGGTGGCAGAGGGGTGCTGGAAAGGGAGGGAGTCGAAGACGGCGGCGATGACAACGCGTGGTTTGCCAGGGTTCTTGCGGTAGAATTCCGCTACAGCGTCCTCTGCAAAGATATCAGAGTGCTTGACCCACTGGTCGTGTGATGGATCGTAGCCTTTCCACTGCACAAAGAACCAAACGCTGCGGTAGCGTATCTTGGCATCCAGTATCTCTTCGACTTCCCACTCCTCGCCAGGTCCTTGGCCCATGACCAGTGGCGGCTCTTCACGGCAGGGGCACGTGGGGAATGGGTCGTCCTCAGCGAGCTGCAGTTTGACGACGGGGAAGACCGGGTGAAGGCGAGAGAGGCGGCGAGGGAGGTCAAGCTTGTAGGCGCCACGTCCAACGACCTGGGTGACTTTGAAGGGTCCCAGGCGTCGATGAGAGAGTTTGAGGGACGGGCGCGTCGTCTGGATGTCAGATGCGTCAAGCCAAACTCGATCTCCGACCTTGATGTCCGGGGCTGGGGTCCTCCGCCGATCGTAGTACTGCTTGTACTCCTCCTTTGCCTTCACCAGCACAGACTTTGCTTCTGCCACGCCCGAGGCAATGCAGTCGCAGAACTTGTTCGCCAATTCGTTCACGTCTGAGCGCAGCCCGTTTGGCTCAAATCCCATGCGAGGGAGCCGACCGGTGTCCGTCATGAACAGGACTTGCTGCGTCGAGGAGTGGACGTGGTTGTTGTAGGCGAACTCTGCAGCTGGAAGCAGCTCGTCCCAGTCGTCCTGGCCGTAGCTGGTGAAGATGCGAAGGAACTGCTCGAGCTCCTGGTTCACGCGCTTGGTCTGCCCGTCAGTTTGCGGATGATAAGCAGTGGACGTTGCTGGTGAGACACCAACCAGCTTCCACAGCTCCTGAGTGAATTCCGCTATAAACTGAGAGCCCCGGTCAGAGACATACTTGGTGGGCAGCCCATGGTGGCGCCAGACGTGTTTGTAGAAGAGTCTGGCGGCACCTTCACCAGAGAGCAGGGTGTGGCACTTGATGAAGTGGGCGCACTTCCCAAGCATGTTGACGACAACCATGATGGCATCGTACCCATGCGACTCTGGTAGTTCCACAATGAAGTCGACTGATACCGCCTCCCAGCGCTCCGAGGGGACCTCGGTGGGGTGGAGCTCCCCGGTGGGAAGTCGACGGAGCGCCTTAGTTCGGCAGCACAGGTCGCAGGTGGCCACGTACCGGCCAACGTGTCGGGACAACTGGGGCCACCAGTAGTTCCGGGAGACGAGCTCCAACGTCTTGAAGCAGCCGGCGTGTCCTGCGACGTGAGTGTCGTGGTGCTGCTCAAGGATGCGTTGGCGGAGGTCGTTGTTGCGTGGAACCACCAGTTTGCCGCGGAAGTAGAGCAGGCCGCCCTCATTTCGCCACTCCGCAGCCCGATGAAATGCTGAGGGCGTGCTCACAAGTGAATCTACTATGAAAGTAAACCCAAATATAAAACACGTTCACACTCCTCGTAATCAGCTTCTCAGTGTGTGAAAGATGCGAGGGCTTCGGGGTGGACAGAGCACCAGTATCACAACTCTCAATAGACGCAGATCCAATAGTCGCGGAGACGAAGTCGACGACAAGAATTTATATATAGCAAACAATGGTGTCTCAACCAATATCTTCTATACGAGCACAACCAACACTAATCCAATCCACAACCAACAATATAACAAGTCAGAGCTTAATACGAAGTATTAAGATCCCTTGTAGCGACAGCGTCTAGATGGTGACGCAAAGCCCAAATATCAAGTCGACGCACTGCCAACTGATACAACCAATATACTGAGTCGACGCACTGCCAACTAGTAGAACCAAAATGTCAAGTCGACGCACTGCCAACTGACACAACCAAAAGTACTGAGTTGACGCACTGCCAACTAGTAAACCAAAATGCCGCGTCGACACACTGCCAACTAACAGCCAATATCCAATGTCCAAAACCCGAGCACAACTTGTCGACGCACTGCCAAGCAAGAAGTGTGGAACCAAAGTTCTCAAGTCGACGCACTGCCAACTGACCAAAACAACCCGAGCACAACTAGTCGACGCACTGCCAAGCAAGAAGTGTGGAACCAAAGTTCTCAAGTCGACGCACTGCCAACTGACCAAAACAACCCGAGCACAACTAGTCGACGCACTGCCAAGCTAGAGGTGTGGAACGATCTCAACAAAGCCCGAAGGCGACGACACTAAATGCCGCGACTAAACCAGATGCGGCGAATCCGACTTTCCGATGTCTCAACTCAGACTCAAATCACAGTAGCTACAAGTGCTCAGGGAGCAACTCGTCGCGACCGGGCAGGGGTAGCAGAACTTCTTAGGGTGGAATCACGCGGCACGCAAATTGTACAAAACAATCTGAAATGAGAGTGATTCACAGTCCGGGGGAAAGCTTCCCAATACAAAGAAACGACGTGCTACTTATACTGTCTACGACGCTGCTTAGTAAAGTCCTGTACAACTGCATAGTAGCTACGCTATCTAAGATCGGTTGCCTTTTAGGGTAATTGAAAAGTTGAACGATCGGACAGGTCCTGAGTGATCAGGACCCCGCCCCATTGTCCATATGATACTTTTGATGTGGGTCAACCCACCGCGTCATACTTTTGGAATACGACGTGTTGGATTGGCCAACGGGTATGTCTTGGCAAGTGAGACCAACGTGGGCGCCCCAAGAAGCCGTATGGCCCTAGGCACACCAGTCGTCCCCCACATGGTTCGGTTCACGGATCTAGCCGTGTCGGTTTCTAGTGTGTTTGGGTATGGACGCGACTCGCCGTGACACTTGGAAGTGTCACCGCGACGCGTCCACAATGTCCCGTGATCGAATGGATCCTGACATGTGACAAGTCGTCGTCGTGGCATGATCTGAGGAAACGTCCAACTCAAAACCGGGAGTTGCCGCGACAAGATGGTTTAAGTCTCGTAACGCCAAGTCCTGTCCAGTAGTAGTTCTATTATTGAGAACGTCGCGCATTGCTCAGCCCTTCAGCCCAAGTTCCCATCTGCAGAGAATGACCCTTTTCGAGAAGTCGACGCAACGACAGATCCCTTTTTGGGGAATGGTCGCGGTCCAAGCGTTCGTCACTAATGGCCCTGAGCCTGGTGTAGACCCATAAGACCAGTTCCACAGTAGTGGTCTGACTGCCTTGCTATCGTCGACACTATCCACAGTCGTCGACTGGGCAGTAGACCCTTAAGTCCTACTGAGCGCAACACTGTCAACCGCGACACGATACACCGAATGGTTCAAGAGTAAACTCTGTAAAAAGCGCAAAATACGCCCTTACAGAGCTGGTGCAGAGCGCGTCTGGTAGCCAGCCTATCATCTCCCAGGAACACTAATTTTGACCTCCTGGTCAATCCCGCGACAGTCTCACTGCGTCAGGTCTAAGTCCAACAGTCGACGTCTCATTCAGTTATTATTAAAGCCGCGGAGACATAGAGTTATGTTCCCACGTCTTATTCATTTGGTTGTTCGGTTCCTTCCGTGATCTGCCGCGATCAAACTTCTTCCGGCATGTTCACCATATAAATGCCCTCAATTTTCAGGGTCGAGAGTCTCCCTAGTACAAGACACTCTTGCTTTTCGACCACCATGTCCGCGCCCGACCAGAGCCCCCGCCCCCAAGACAACAACCGTGAGTGACGCCCAGGACGATTACCGCGACTTTTCAACCACGCTAACCGTCCATCAGCCGTCACCGAATCAGCTGTCCCGGGAGCAAACCCGCCTGCCATCGACTGGCGGCAGTTCATGCCGTTAGTCAATGTCTCTCTCATGGCTTGTCGATCCAACTCACCACCTGCCTAGCCCTGAGGCCTACAACATGATGTTGCGGCAGATGGCCGTCGACGTCCGCCAGATCCAGCAGGTGAGCTCCGTTCTAAGCCCGCTGGAGCGAGCAGTCACGGCGATCAATGATTGCCGCGCCTGTTCGCTTTGGCCTTCCTTCTTTTCAC